TCCTTTTTCTTTTCTTTTTCTTTTTTTTTAACAATCGCTGCATATGGCTATTTCATTGGTCCGCTTGGTTGATTTAGCCGCTACGTCATCCTCTCGGTATTTTTCCTATCAATTTGTTTTTGTCATAATGAACTCCGATTTTGATAATTCAAAATTCGTTGGAATAGTCGTATCAAGTTCTACGCTATGGACACTTAAAAACACTAAAATTGTCAAATAACATAATTAAGTTTGTTATCATCAAAACATTAATTAATTAATTAATTAAAATTAATTAACTTGAGATTAAGGGCCAAAAAGCCAACAGTAGTGCATTCGATAGGGCTCCATATCGGTGCAAGCTTTCTTTGTGTACGTGAACTTCGAGTTAGGAGACGAAGATGTATGTGGTAGTCCCATGACATGTGGCACCAACCCAGTAACCGACATCAACATAAACCATTAAATAACTCCGCCTAAACTTACGAATTTCAATCAAATAGAAAAAATAAGCTCTAATGTATTTTCTATCTAGATACTATTAATGTCATACTGAATAAATGCTTTATAATTCATTTAACACATATGAGAATATTTTTTTCAACAAATTTTCAACCAAAATCTGTTAGATGGTAAAAATTGAACACTTACTAAATTTTAAGGTACAATTAGATGAAATTAAAAATTTAGGGTAAAAATTGATACATCTTACCAAATTAAGGGTTAAAAATGATTTTGTTAGCATTATATGTATATATGACTGTTTGCCCTCTCTAACCATAAATAATGGATTTGCAACTACCCCAGACATCTCCTATTTATCAATGTAGTCTCCTCAAGTTTGTTCAGGTGGTCGGCTCGACCAGGTCAGGTCGATTCAGCCTAATCTTGTCTGGTTGTCTAATCTGAGCAATTCAACTCACGGTACTTCTTTGACCTCATTTTAGGTGAAACTAGCACCATAATTTCAGCCGATAAGATTTTTTTTTTGGTGAATTGAATGTAGTGGGAGATATTTTACTTTCATTTTACGTTTTCTTGTTAATCATCAATATTTGATTTTTTTTTTACTAACTTTAATTACTTCTCAAATTTATATTTATGTACTATTTGAATATAGTATCATTTTTTTAGACGATTTATCACCAACCACGTGCCAACATCTCATAGGATGAAAGTAATGAACCAACATGAAGGTCCACACATCGAAGTAAATGTATATCTAACTTCTCTAGAAAGTCGAAATTGATCCATGAAAGTCGGTCGTGAGTCATCTAGAAGACGAGCCGACCTGCACTTCCTACCTGGGTCGCTTGACATCCAAGCCGAGTCGAGCTCATAATCTCCATATCGTACGCTTGGGTTAGCAACCATGCAGTCCAAAGGACACTCCTTGAGCAACTGAACTTCGACACAATCCATGATAACACGCCGTGATTATCGGGCTGTCAGAGAGTCATTGGATGCTTGTCGGAAACTGTGCCAGAAGCTCTACCTATAAATATAGAGACCTCCTAGCCGCCTCATTTTCAGGTACGTAAACTATATTATTCTCTCTCGAGTATAGGTCGGCCAGCTATTGACTTCAGCGTCGGAGTGCTTATTCTTTTTTGCAGGTCCTCTACTTGCCAGCACATTAGCTCATCTTTTGAGTTAGCAAACACCCGAGCCAAACTTCACGAACTTAGTCAAAATCTTGATTAAACCATCATAATTTAGCAACCATTACCATTGTTATAAAATACTATTAACTATAGAGTTGCACGTATTGTTTAACATTTAATGGTTATTGTTTCACCAACCTGAACATAGCTCAATTGGTTATGACATACATATTGGATCAAAAGGCAGAAGTTTGAACCTCCACCTCATATGTTAAATTCAAAAGTAAAATTATCGTTGTATCTTTAAATTACACCTATAGAATTCAATATACTCGAGAGAAATCAACAAGTGTTGTCATTGATTAACTAAAAGGAGTTAAATTAAATTGAAGAAGATGATGGGTGATGGATTGGGGGAATTTGAACAACTTGAGATGATGGTTGAGAAGTAGAAGCAATGTCATGGTGTGTTGATCTCTGAGATTGCTCAGATTTTTCAGCTGCTTCTCTCTTGCGCCTTGTCTCTTTGGCCCATGAAATTAGAAGTTCCTCTATTGTTTTACCAAACATACCCTTTTTGAATGTGCTTCCCATCTTGATMAAAAACACACAAAATGAGGTTAATATTGAATGAAATCAATCAAAGTTACAATGGTATATGAACTAGTTAAGAACATTCGACATTTCGCTAGTTGTTTGGTACGATTACGATTACGATTTCCTTTTGGTTTTGGTTTTTCTATGTTCCCTCTTGTCTAAGAGAGAAAAAAAAGTAATTGTTTGTGTTTCTTGATCTAGAAGATTTGTTTAGTAACATTTTTGTTTTTGTTTCTTGTTTGTCATTTTTAATTTTTAATATTTGGTAACTATTCTTATTTCTCATTTCTCATTTTCATGAAAAGTTTCCAAAATTGTATAAAATTTTAGAAAAGAAAAATCAAGTTTCTTATCTATTATTCCTGTTTCCAATTTTTTATTTTTTATTTTTTTTCAAAACATAGATAAGAGTATTATTTTATTACTTTTTTACCTATAAAATGCATAATAAAGATCATAAAAATAAACATAACATGAAATTTTAATTCTCATATAAAAATTTTACCTTTTTCAATTTAAATTCTTAAAGAATAATGAATAATAAATGATTATTAAATGTGTTTCTTTTCAAACAACAAGAATCCAAAAATAGTTACCAAACAATTCTATTTTTCTTGATTAAAAAATAGGAAATGAGAACAAAAAAAAACAATAAACATGAAATTTACCAAACAGGTCTAAATTATATTATAGGATTTCACACAAAAATTAAAATAAAATAAATAAACTATAGGAGCCTTTTGAAATTATTTTTAGAACACAAAGGGTATAATTTAGTATAACCAACCTGAGTGACTAAAGTATACAATGGCAATGTGCTGTAACTGCAAAGCACTTGGACAAGTGCACTGTGGGGAAGAATTTTGGCAAATGTTAGTGGCCAATTAAATATAAAATTGATATTAGATAGTAATTTTAGGTGGGTTTGATAATCATTTTGTTTTTGGTTGTCTGTCGTTCAAAATAAAGCCTATAAGCAATAGTTCCATCTATGTGTTTCTTTGTTTTGCTTCTGAACCGTTATTAAAACTAAAACAAAAAAGGACTTGTTTTAAAAAAAAAGGAATTTTTTTTATGTGTGAAAATTTGTTAAGAAGCAAATTAATGTGAAAAGTATACTAAAGAATTTGTTAAAACACAAAACTAAAAATGTAATGGTTATTTTTGCTTTGGATTTTTTGTTTTTACACATCTAGCTAGTTTTCTTTGGCTAAGTAATATAATTTGTTTTCAATAAGAATTCTTATTGGAATTTTGCTAGGAATTCATTAATGTTCAAAAGCTCTAAAAATTTTAGATAACAGAAATGGTTACCGGACAAGTTTAATATTTTATAATAAAAAATTAAAATCAAAACCGTTATCAAACAAAACGAGAAGATGAAAGTTAATAGTGTTACCCTAAGAAGAGTCTGGTGATGACGAACACAGCTTTCTCCATAATGCAAGACTTAAATCCATAAGTTGTCTGCAAATATTTTTCAACCATACGTAAAGCATAAGTATTTTTAAGAAAGAAAAACCGGTAAATTACAAATTTAATCCTTGAACTTCATCTAATTAACCAGTAGAGATGCACGACATAGAATGACAACATTAAAGCTCTCTAAAATTCAAGGACTAAATATGAATATTTGATCTCAAAAATGAAAAGTATAAGGAGAAGAAAAATCCGCTCACCCAAATCCAGAAGAAGAAGGCGATCTCGAAGGAGTTTTGAAAGAGAATGAAGTGAATCAAGAGAAGAACAAGAGAAGGACGAGCAAACCAAAAGTGTTCATCTGAGGGCTTCACTTCATGGCCAAAATGTTTCTTCTTCTTATGTTGTACTGTTTGATTTGTACGTTGATGTTCTTGTTTTTGTTCTTGTTCTTTTTGTTCTTCCTTGTCTTCTATTCTCAAGTTTAATTCTTGAGCCATACGGGTTATTATGAATTCCAACTTTGCCCCCACTAGAAGCAGCAGCTGTATCAATTTTATCATTTTGCCCAAACAATTAAGTTACACAAAAACATACAACTGATTAAAATTAATGGTAATCACAAGGCGTTTGGTTTATGTGTTTGAGAAGCTTAAACTTTGTGCAACTCAAGATTTAGAACATAGGGTGTATAAAACCTATATTTAGGATATAATTTTTAATAACCGGACAATAAAAAGACAAAATAGTTAGGAAATATATGTCAATTACCGCTGAGTTATGCTCACTTTGACATATAAGATTATTCAATGCTCCATTAATATCACATAACATACACATATATAGATCACCGTCGTTAAAGTTAATCTAGGATAAATAAGTTTTTATTAAAAAAAAAAGGAGCAAAGTACACTTTTCCTCCCTAGGAGTTGGAGTAGATGTCTATTTGGTACTTATAGTTTCAAAATGTACACTCTCGGTCCCTCCTCCCTTTCTCTGTTGACCTGCTCCTCCCCAAAAAATAATCGTTGTCGTACAAAAAAACTCGCCATCATTTAGATCTGGTTCTCGAAGAGGAAAAAGGAACTTCCTTCTCCTTTCAGATCTGTAAACGACAACGAAGGCTATCATTGGAGGGGGAGCAGAACGACAGGAGGCGACAGCGAAAAAACAACATGACGAACGATGAGCGATGGCGGTTCACCGAAGAAGGGGAAGGAGAAGAAGGAGAGAAGAAAAGGAGGGAGAAGAGAGAATGAGATAAAAAGTCCAATCATAATAAAAACGTTAACTACCACACTATTTTAATGTTAGTCAACTAACGATCAGAATATGTTAGGACTATTATTTAGAACCATTTTACAAACTTAGGGACCAAAAAGAGCAATTATGTTTCTAAAAAATGTTATATTTGCAACTATTTTTTTTAAAAATGTTATATTCATAATTTTTATTACAATATCTTTGCAAATAGATCAGCTATGAAACAAGATATTTAAAATTTCTCATATAACATTGTATACTCTAGATTTAAACAAATTTGTCGATGGATTGGATTTTACAAAAACAATTAGACTAATATTAAAAAACTTACAATTAGTGGTAGAAATGACAACCAAAAATAAGTGTGCCATCCTACAATTCAAATTAAAAACTAATTAGCAAAATTATTTGAAATAAGTTTATTGAAAAAAGTAAAATAAAATTGATAAAATTGGTGGATAGAAAGGGTAAAGCATGACATTACCTTCAAGATTAAGCAGCAAAAAGAGCACAACAAATACCCAAAGATACCAACTACAAAATATTGAATTTACATTATTATTTAACAAAAGGAATCATTTTTTTGTATTCAAAGTTACTTAAAAATTGAAGCAAAAAATTGTTGATTTTTTTAATATAACACAAGTAATATATTTTGAAAGGGATAACTAGAAGCAAAATATGCATAAGAATCATGATATTTTTAAAATGATTTTTAAAATCTGTTAAAATTGAATTTTTGTGTTTAGAAAATAGACTGAGGTGATTTATTATGTGTCATGTGAACCAATTCTAGTAGAATATAATATGTGCTAAGCGATTTTAATATAATTTGTGTAGGTTGTGCAAATATTAAGCGGGGTTGGGTTACGTTATTTGTTTGGTTGTTTCTTGTTTCTTGTTTCTCGTTTCTCGTTTTCAATTTTTTGAGAAACATAAGCATTGGGTAACTATTTTGTTTCTCATTTCTTATGAGAAATGTTTCTAAAATTGTGTAGAAATTTTAGAAACAACGAAACGAGATCAAGTTATTGTTTTTTGTTTCAATTTTCAGTTTTTTTCCAAAGTATACACTAAAAGATTATTTTAGCATTCTTAACTTATAAATGTATAAAAAAAATTAAAAGATAAACATGATAAAAAAAATTGAAATTTAATTTAAAATTTTAATTTCCATTGAAAACATTTACTTTTTTAATTTATAATTTTAGAAAATTAAAAAAAAAAGAATAATAAACAAAAAAAACTACTGAAATGTAATTCTGTTTTATTCATTAAAAAAGAAACCAAAAATAAAAAAAATAAAATCAAACTAAAAATAAAAGTTTAACAAAGAGATATTAAAAAAAATAGCCATTTAACCTATCGACACTTTTAATGGAAAATTAGTAAACTTTAATTAGTGAAAAATAATTTTAGAAATTAAAAACAAATATTGGAAACGTAGTATAATTTTAATATATGTTTGAGTATGTTTTCGGTTTAGTCTCAATTATTTAAACAGTTAATTGTTGTTTAAAAATTTCAATTCAGTCTCTTGAATTTAAATATTTTTTAGAATTGAGTAGAAATTTGATTTTTTTACTCTTTAGGGACATAATTCTTCCGCATAACTTATGTCAACTTAGTGAGGATCATATCATATAAAGTTATCAAATCAATTTCAACCTTTACTACTGAAAATGATATAATGAAAAGGGAATAAATTGAAAAAATACCTAAATATTAAAAAATAATATATATATTTAGCTGTTTAAAAATAATGCTTTTGTAAAATATCTGACCTTATGCCTACAACTTTCTTGAAATCATTTTCGAGTGTACGTGTCACGTAACCATAGAAATCAAAATTAGGACTTCTAGGGCAATGTTCCTGCATCGTAAACAACATTGATAAGTCAACGTGAACACATAATTCAAMTTGTTTAGACATATATCTGACTAAAAGGTTGGAGGATCAAATCTCTATTGTATTTATTGTTGAACTAAAAAAACAACACTAGATAAAAGATAATAATAATAATAAAGTTAGAGTACTAATTTTAATCATTTTACTTAACTGAATTCTTGAATAGGAACTAGTGATAAAATCATACTCCTCGATCTAAAAAGAAACATCTAACTTAGTCTTAATCAAAAAAATATCCAAACACATAAAATAAATATGCCAAACACCGCTCAACATAGGGAAAGACAATTGCTCTATAGAATCCATTTTGGAGGGCACGATAATGATTCCCAAATTTAATTGGGACAACATTATTAACACGAACAAAATTCAGTAGATAAGACATTCATTGCTATCTCTAAGATTAATAGTTCAATCCTCGTCCACAATTTTTTAACTCGAAAAAAAGGGACAAGAACGAGGATAGAGAAAGGCTTTTCCCAATTTAATATTGCGGACAAGGGCAAGGTCCCATTGATGAGGTTTGGCATAACTCATCTTGGGTATTTCCAAGTCCTCTCTCTGGGACAACATTATTAACCCGAGCAATGTTTAGTAGATAAGACATTCATTACTCTCTCTAAGATTAATAGTTCAATCCTCGTCCGCAATTTTTTAACTCAATAAAAATGGATAAGATTGAGGATAGAGAAAAGCTTTTCCCAATTTAATATTGCAGGCAAGGGTAAGGTCTCATTGATGAGGTTTTGCCTAACTCATTTTGGGTATTTCCAAGTCCTCTCCGTGGCTCACCTATCAAGCTAGGTCTAAGGATTTTTCCAGCCTAATGAAGCCTTATTTATCAAAGGCCACCTCGCTCAAGTTAGGTTTCTAATCTAAGCTCTGTCGAAGCTTTTAAATTCGAGCTCCTCGGCTTGGAGGTCCCTTTTTTTAATTGGTGCACCAAACGTTATATCATTGGCTTAAGAGATGGTCAATCACTTCATTTCGAGAGTTGACTCGAGCTCTTTTTCTTACCCAATTGATGGGAGGGCGAGAGCAAAAACGACTGACTACCCACCTTCTTACACTCCTCCATTGTGCCGCTCTTGGAATGTTGAGTACCTCAAGATTTACTACCCTTAAGACGGTAAAATTCAACCTTCAGACTTAGGATCAAATTAACTTATCGGTGTCTTTTTTATTTGTTCTTAATTAGAGGAAGCCTAGCGAAAGCCCTACTTAAATAGGAAGAGGGCATGGTACACCAACTAAGAGAGAGATCTCTGATTTAAAAAAAAAAAAGGATTTGATCATGCTAGAAAATCCTTAGGCTCAAGTTATTATTAGGTGGTCCTAGATCAAGGGACCTAGAAGGGATGAAGGGGCAAAGATGAGTTATGTTCAACCTGGCGAAAGAGACATTCCAGACATTTGATAAAGAGAACTTGATTAGATCAACATTTTTTTCTTTGCATTGTTTTCTTCCTCTTCTTCGTCCATGTCCTAACCCTTAATTTTTGTCAATTGATTGTGAGAGAAAGACCTCAAATTTTGTTCGTCCTTCATGGTCTACTTACCCCTCAATAATTTTGTTTGCCCCATGGTATTTTGATCGTGAGAGGAGATATTACCCTAACCCCCAAATTGCTCCCAACGACGTATTTCAAATGTGACTAAGACTCTTAAATTTTCTTTTTTAGAGCTCACCATTATGTCACATCTCCACCTTTATTTTAAAGAGGAAACTAACTAAAGGGTAGTTTTGAAATAAGTTTAAAGGTTAAGGGTCAAAATGAAACTTTTGGAACGATAGAAACATCATCGAAACCTACCTCAAAGTTCAAGGGCATAATTGAAACCTATGCTCACGTATACCATTATGTTTACATCTCATCAAGTGCATACATCACTGCACTTCCACTTTACACCTATCATGCCACATTATATTTTCGTACTCATTTTAATAGAAAATTTGATAGCAGGGTTATTTTGAAATATACCACATTGAAACCGAGTTATTACCAATTTTGCCTCACATTTTATAAGTTTAAATTTTACTTTGATTTTTTTCCAATTATCATTAGTCTATTGAGCAAATTTTTTAAAATAATATTTAGATAAAAATTTCTAATAGTGATACTCGAAAACAAAATAAAAGATTAGAGTAAAATTGAAACTAGAACCTATTACATACATATGTAATAGGTTTATACTATATTATACTTTATGGGTATATTAAATTTAGGGCCAAATTATATACCCATAAAGTATAATATAGTATAAACGTTTTTTTTTCCATAAAATTAAATATTGAACCACAAAAATAAAAAAGAATTGGATGGGAAAATTATTTGTAACCTCGATAAAGCCACGTCGAAGAGAGATGTAATCGGACTTTGTGATTGATCCATGAAACTGCTTCACAAATGCTACCTAAAATAAAATTAAAAACAATATTTTGAGGCCTTTTTTTTTACATTTATTATATATTTCAAAAATAAATTTATACTCCAAATTCTTTATTTGTAATCTATTTTTAAAATTTTAGTCATATTTGAAAAATAATCATTAAAAAAAATTTACAGACAATTTTACTTTGTTATTAATTTTAAAGATTTAACTTTTGTTTCTGCTTTTATTTGATTCTTTTAATTTTAAAATATACCACATTGAAATCGAGTTATTATATTTATTTTATGTTATTTATGTAAATACCTCATATAAAAATGGTTTCTATAAAATTATTCTGCTAAATGAGTTTCTATCCCAAAAATTTTGGCAAATTATTTATAATTTGTCTTTGAACTTAAAATTTTTTTAAAAGAAAACAAAATTAAAAAATTGAAAACAAAATCATGATAATGTTTAATTACCACCCAACCAATGACAGCAGCTTTTCTCCAAAATCCTTGGGCACGTTCAACAAACTCGGCATCTTGAGAAGCTAAAAAGGGTAGAGAAGGAAAAAAAATTAAGAAGAATTCAATATTGTAATTAAAAGGCTTAATTCAAGGATGACTAAAATCTTGTATAAATAATACAAAATAGTAATTAAAAAACAAATCACAAATAAAAATAAAAATAAAGGTGTATGGGGTTATAGTTTCTTTTTTAAGTACAACATATGGGATGAATTACCGCTGAGATATATTTACTTTGTCGGATTAAAGTTAATTAATATTTAAGATAATTATTGATTACAAAAATGAAGTGATTGGGTAAAAGCTCAAACAACGTCCTAAGTGAGATTGAGAAAAACCTTGCCCYCGAGGGGCTCGGGGGGAAGGCATTGGAAGACAAAAATATTATAGAGTGAGCTCTTTGCTCAATGTTGGTAATACGACTAAAGTTCCATATTGGATAAATAAGAGGATGATCATGGATATATAAGTATGAGACAACATCATCATTGATATGAAGCTTTTTGGATGAAACTAAAATCGTGAGAGTTATGCCTAGAGCGGACAATATCATACCATAGTAGAGATACTTGGGGCTATCGTTGGACATCAATTGTCCTTAACAAGTGGCAGTAAAGTCATGGTAAAAAAGCTTAAACTTTGTGGGAGAAGTCTTCAAGTGCCAAACAAAGAAGTTGGTAAGCCTCAGAAGATGTAGTAATTGTGTGCTATGTGGTTGTGCTCTATCCAAATGTGCCTGGAGATTTGAGCTCTCAGCTCTCATGGTAGTCAGAGAGTGGACGGATGAATGACTACTCGAGTAGATAGTGGTACTTTGTTCTTTGTTTGAGGGGAGGATTGTTGGATTTGTAAAGAGTGCAAAAAAAAAAAAAGTTCCATATTGACTAGGGAAGGAAGTGATCTATGGTATATAGATGAGAACAATTATTTTCGTTGATATGAGGTTTTTTTGGTAAAACCAAAAGTAAAGTCGTGAGTGTTATACCCAAAACTAACAATATCATACTATTGTAGAAATGTGAAGTGTTCGTTGTCCCTAATAAGTGATATCAGATCCATACCCCCGACTTAGTCATGTCAGTAGAATCCTTAGGTATCGAACAAAGAAAGTGGGTGAACCTTGGAAGATGTTAATCATGGTATGATCAAGCTTGGTGGTACTTAATTTATTCGAAGAGAGGATTGTTGTAAATACAACAAAAGCCTCATATTGGCTAAATAAGGGGATGATCATGAATATATAAGTATGGGAAAACATCTCCATTTTGGTACGAGACTTTTTTAGATGTAACCAAAAATAAAGTCGTGAACGGTCTAAAATAGACAATATCATATTATTTTGATATTTGGAGGATCGTTTTCTCGGTTAGATTAGGGAAATACAAGATGCTTTATTCACTTATATAACGTGACAAAATTGGAATAATTAGCTACATGTATTGAGAGGTTGTTTTATATAATTTAGCTGAAAATCATTAAAACTAATATATTGCTCAACATATTAAATCAACCGATGGTAAATGAAATTTTAGAAATGCAATAGTTATAATTTTTTTTTTTTAAGTAATTCGTTAATTTTTCTGTTTAAATCCTACTTTAATCTCAAACTTTTATATTTTTTTATATTTGTCTTAAGTTTGTTAAATATTATATGGATACAAAAAAAATAATTTACCCTTTCCAGATCGTGAAATTTGAACTCCTCTCTCCGGAATAGAATCCTCCCAACTCTTCCATAGTCGTATCTGCACAAATTAAGTAATATTCATCCATCATGACAGGGATGTTCAAAAACTCGATGACTCGAAAAAACCGATCAACCTAACTTAATTCATACGATTTGGATTGGGCCATAAATTTATTTTTGTTTGCATTGAGTTCAAATAAATAAAAATTCTATGGGTTGAGTTGACTAAAGGTTCGCCCGAAATAAGTTTGGATGGAACTGAACCAACCTGAGTTTATTATTAATCTTAAAACTATTTCTTTTACTGACCATAAAAATTGTATATAGTCATATTTATTTTAAATTTATCTCATTCAATAATTTTTTATGTACTATCCTACATCTGCCTTTAAAGCCAACTTTTTCAAGATTTTTTAGTGTATTTTTTCACTATATAAATAAACATCGATTTAATGATCTTAATTCAATATTATACCGTATATAAATAAATGTTAAAGATATATTATCCTTTTACTTTTTTTTGTTATACAGTATTTTGAATAAGTGATTCGTATAATCCGAATCAAACTCAGGATTCAGACACTCACATGCTTCTTAGTAAATCAACTAGGAGGCACACTTAAGTTTGGAATTTTCATGATCGAGTCATCGAAAAGGAAGATGTATCTTGTTAGTATAGATAGTAACTAATGTAACTTTGAAATCATTATCTAAATCTAAGGTGTGAGTAAATAAGCATAATTTTTTAAAATAGAAAATTAAAAAAAATGAAAAAGTTATCAAACGAACGATTTTTTTTGGAGAGTGAGATTACCTTTGCTGCAGCAAGAAGCATGGTAGTAGCACAAAAGATAACATGAACAACAGCCAACACAAATATGAAAATATGCAGCTGATGCAGAGCTTCCAACGACAACAGAGGAACCTTTCCCTGTTCATAACCATTTTCATATGAGGATTTTAATTTTTTTTTTCTTTCAAAATCTCGGAAAAACGTCGAAAAATGTCGAGAAATATTAAAAATGTACATACCCTTGAATGTCAATTGATAAACTAATAACCTAGCAAACTAAAACTTTCTTTGTTAATTTGGAAAAAAAAAATTGAGTTTCCATGATTTCTAATGAATTTTTGTAAAATTTCCGTTGCTAGCGATATTTCTATTGACATTTTCCATTAACATTTTCTTACTGTCTTTTTTTTCATGTGAAAAAACATAGGTCTAAAGGGTCAATCATAACATTTTGTTTTTATATCTTATATATTTTTTAAAAGTATGCTTATTGATAATATTTTTCTTTATGTTTTAATCTATATGTTAAAAAAATATTTTAAAATAGTAGCTAAAATTTGAGAACTAAAACAAAGTTTTCAAAGACCAATATTTTGTTGTTCTTTTTTTCTTTATTTAGTTAAGATTTCAAAAGTATTTTTAAAAAGTGAAAAACTACACTTAAAAAAAACATAAATATAAGTAATTCTAACTTAATTTTAAAAATAAAAAAACACACACACACACAAATTTTGTCCCATAAGGCCTGAAATTGTCAAAATTTATACATAAGTTTCTAGAAGTGGAGAGGATGGAAGCAATTAGGGATAGAAACCCGAAATAGAAAGGCAACGAAAATGTTATCGAACGAGTCCTTACTTTTCGTGAGCAATGTTGAACATTTGTTTGCGTCGATAATAGACGACGCCCGATATTATTATCACCGATGAAAGTAGGAGAAGATGAGAAATGATGAACAACTGATGCATTCCTCTTGCATGGAAGCATATAGTTTGCAAAATCTGGGGGCATACAGAAATGGCCAATTGCACCTTGAGACACAGTCAATAACAGGGAGATGAACCCTAAAATCATCAACTCTGTCAAAAAAAAAAAATGAGAAAGTTACAAAACATAACCTTTTTTTTATATTTGTACTAAAAAAGATTCTTACCCTGTATTTTTGTACTAAAAAAACATTCTTAATTATATCGTGTTTCGTGAAAGTTACAAAACATAACATTTTTTTTTATATTTTTTACTAAAAAAACGTTCTTAATTATATCGTGTTTCGTGAAAGTTACAAAACATAATATTTTTTTTATATTTTTGTACTAAAAAAATTTCTTACCTGTATTGTTGTACTAAAAAAGAAGTTCTTAATTATATCGTGTTTCGTGACTCAGACCTAAATGTACTTTTATATTTGTGTCAATTTCGTTTCAATCTATTTTTGTACTTAACTATATATGAGTTAGAATAGACTTTTTTTTTCATATTAATCACAAAAATAATTAATTAATGGATAAGATGTTTAAGTACTTTGAAATTCTATAATGGTAAATTGAGGATGAATTTTAGGAAGAAAAAAAAAGTGTTTTAATTAGAATCATTTTTGTATAAGCACTTTGGAGAAAAAAACATTAATTGAAGATGAGTTTAGGATGGTCTAATTTAGAATGGTAGAAAAATATTTTTAGCCTATTAAAATATCTTTTCAATAATTTCATAATATTTGGTAAAATAATCAAAAGTGACTTCAAAATGCATTTAATTACTTTCAGTTCAAAAGTCATTCAAAATCACTTTTAAGTGCTTTTTTACATCATTTTAAAGTACTTTTAAAGTTTTTTTTTTTTTGGTTTGTTTTTTAATTTTCAAATACCACTTTTGATTATCTAACTAAGTACTACAAAAATTTTGAAACAAATCTTTAAATAAGCTAACAACTCCTTTATCAGTCCAAAACTCTCACCTTAATTGTGAACCTAAACATGTGATTGAATATAATTGAATAATTACTATGAATTATTAAGTGAATTTTGGATTAAACTTAAAAAACTTAGTCCTTTTATTAGTCATGATGATTAAAAAAAAAGGAAAAAAAATTGATATGATAATTGAGGGAGAACCTTCTTTTAGTTTCTGCAAGGCATCATAGAGTGCATCCTGTCCTTTACGCTGTAACCACTGAATCAAAGAAAAAACCATATAAAAACTTAGGCTAAATACAACAAATGATCCATAATGTCTTTAATCTTTTAAAATTGTCTTCTTTACCCTTGGTTGTATAAAGATTCTCAATTAGGTTATGTTTTTCCATAAAAAATTGTTAAAACGGGTAAACAAAGGAGTTGTGTGTCCGTTGGACGGGCATTTGGATTTCCATGTTTGTTTTGCGGGAATGTAAGATAAGATGTCCATATGAGGAGGCATTTTACGGGTTTTGGATGCCCTTTTGATACATGGGTTTCCAAGATTCCCTTGTTGAGGCATCCACGTTTTACATTTTTGCCCTTCATTTTTTTTCTCCATATATTTTCTTTCATCAATTTTTTTTAATTTTAATATTTTACCCTTCTTTATTTTAATATTTTAAATTTATAATTAAAATAAATTAATGTACTCAGAACTAATAAACAACTTTATGCTATTAAATATATTTGTACATTAGATTTACATGTAAAATAAATTGCAATTAAGTTATATAATATCTTCATTTATTTTTTATATTGGTAAGGAATTACATTATTAACAATATTTATTATCATAAATATATAATTTTAAAGCAACATTTTGCTTGCGACCAACATAGCTGTTATATTTTTCCTCTTAAAAAAATATAATGTGATGATAGGATAAATAGATTTCACTCAAGATAGCAAAAATTATATTATTGTCTTTTTGGAAACCATTAAAGTTGAAAATTAAATATATATTAAGTTAATATGAATTAATTTGTTCTACAAAATAACATATAAAAAATAATAAATAATAAATTATTTCAAATAAATCTATTATATTAAATGAATTTATAAATTATATAAATATTTGTAAGGGTATTTTTGGAACATTCCATAAATTTAACATATTCCCAAAAATAAATCCTGCAAAACAAACATGTCTATCCAAATATTCTCAGATATCCTACCTACGAAACAAACATGGTTAACTGAACATGTCGGACATCTAAAATTTCGAGCATCTAAAATTCTAGGCATCTATAGATTCCGGTCATCTACATTCCCAAAAAACATAGATATGCTCCTCGATTCTATTTGAAACATGAAACCTAATTCACACCCATCAACAAAATCTAACCCCGCTCGTCTAGAAATCCGCATTTCTTTCACGTTGGATGCCCAGGTGAYATTTTCAAATTTGGTTCATTTTAGTTCTCATACTTTCAAAATGTTTATTTGTCCCAATGGTTTTAAAAAGTGACCATTTTGGTCGTTACTTGCAAAATTTTAGATCAAATTATATATACACATAACGGAAACATTTTAATACAAAATCATGATTACATTTCAATAAATATATATTGTGTTGTGTTGTGTTGAAGTTGTGGTAGAAAAAACAAGACAAAAAATAAAATTAAGGGACCAAAAATGGTCACTTTTTAAAAATACAGGTACCAAACCAGACATTTTGAAAGTATAGAGACTAAAATTAATCAAAGTTAGAAGTATATATACCAAAATGAATCAAAGCTCAAAGTACAAGGACCAAAATAGTATTTTTTAACCCTAGATATATTAACAAAACCATAATTCAACAGTACATCAACCTCCTATTAACAAATTTTGACATGTTTTTCTAGAAAGAAAGATGTGAGTTAGAATTTTAATACTTCGGAAAAAACAAACCTATCCCAACATTTTAAAAAACGTCGGGAAAAAATTGGACTCAGGCGTGAATAGGGCCAACTTTTTCCAGACATTTTTTTCAAAACGTCGGGAGCAAGTAGACCTATCCCGACGATTATATTTCTTCAGAAGAAAGATCTTTGCCTGTAAGTCGGAGAAAAAACGTGGAATAATGAAGGATGAAATTAAGAAAAAATTTATATAGGTATGAACCTTTCCAAGGTGATGAAGGCCACGTTCAGCGCAGAAGGAAATGAGAACAATGATGGAGCAAACAACAGCAACAATCCATGTGGGAGTGAACTCAAACTTAGCATTTGGAGGTTCATGTACAACAAATCCTCCTTCTGCCTCCATTAATGGAGATCCCTTCAACTTCAATAATCCTTCTTCTTCTTCTTCTTCTGCTCAACAAATAAATTAAATCAATCTGCCTTTTCTTTTTCTTCAAGCTTATATTGTGAGCCATTGGCTATGGAGGAGGGAGGAAGCAAAGAATAAAGGTGGGATGGAAAAGGCAAAGGGAAAGGGATATTGTAAATGGGTAACTAAGAATATGCCTTTATGTTGAGGGAAGAAACTAATTGTATTCTACTATATATATGTATGTATGTTTTAGTGGTTGATGTTTCAAAATTTTCTCCTTTAATCTTATTTTAAAGTTTCAATTTAGCCTCTTACACGTGTTAAAATTGGAATTGGTTGATAATAATTATGCAATATACGTTTATTATCAACTAATTTGAACATTTACCAATGGTGAGAGATTAAATTGAAGAATGGTTAAATATTAAGGACTAAATTAAAAGTTTGTAAACCATTGAGACGAAATAGAAAAAAAAAGTACTTAAATATTAGGGACTAAAACACATATTTAATCATAGTTATTAAATTGGAATCAGAATTGCTAAAACGAACATAGCTCAACAGTAATTGGACATATATCAGAGTTAGAGTCAAGATATAAAGTTTATTGTATATATTGTGAAACAATAGAATAAATTAAAATAAAATATATAATTAAAAAAGTAATGCCAAAATTTTAAACCTCGACGTAAATAAAAATCTTGAATTATGAAAATGTTGATGGATATTTCTAAAACAATCATAAAAATTAATAAATTTGTAAAAAAAAAATATTTAAATTAACAAATAAGTTTTAAAAAGATCTTAATAATAATAAGATGTCTACATTATTGATATTTTAATATATTTGTCGATTGTTTTGCAAATGAAAATGTCGATTCACTCTCTATCATGTGGGCACAGAACTTCATTTTAGATCTCAACAAGCCTAAAGAGAGAGAGAGGGAGAGCCCCTCTCTCCCTTGTTTCATGGCTCCATAGAAGAAAAAATTGAGGAGCTCTCCCCCTCTCCCTAGATATAGAATCGGAGTTTTCCTCTCTCCCTTGTTCCTTCTTCGTGCCTGGTGAATGTCATTAGGGGTTGACAGCAGCCGATGGTGAGTTTTACTGTAGAACAGAGAGGGAGAAGAAGGTGAAAGGAGAGATAATTTAAAAAAGAAAAATAAATAAATGAGAGAAGTCTAATCATAAAAAAGAATATATTATTAAATTAATAATAATAAATGAATTTAAATAAAGAAAAGGGCAAAACGGGGACTTCCTTATCTCCTTGCCGTCCAAAATTTGATAACGACACCTAAAATTTGACAAGAGTGTCAACCGCATCAAATAATAATTCCTACTTTCAAAAATTATATTAATTGTGATAGAGAAGTATATCTAGGGTGTAATTGGTTCGGGTCAAGTCAGGTTTTGGGGAAAACCAACCCGAACCGAAACTATTCAGGTCAAAACCGAACTGACCCGACAGTTTTCAAGTCAAGAACCGACCCGACCTGAATTGAATTCGGTTTTTTTTCCTTCATCTTCTTCCTCCCTTTCTCCTCCTCCTCTTTCTCTTCCTTATCCTTCTAACCCTACCGTTTTTCCCCTGTTTTCCATGAAACTAAAAATCCGAAAAAATATCCAATCATTTTTTGATTTTTTCAAAAGGAACACAAACAGAAAATCTTACATTTTTTGGGTCAATTTTTTCCTTTGTTTTTGTTGAGAAATTTTATATGGGTATTGCTCAAAAACCCCTAAATTCAACACCAACCTTTGATTTCCATCTCCCATCTCAAATCCTCCAATCGAAACACTTCCAACGTCTCAAACAAGCTCACCGCCGCCTCCACCGCTGTGACTTCAAGATCTCCGATTCCCGCCGTGTGTCGCCGCCGGTGGAAAGTGTTGCTTACCGTCAGGGTTCGTTCAAAGAGAGAGATACGGAGGGAGAGAGAGGAAGGGAGGGGGCGGCGTGGGTTACCTATGAAAGTGAGGGAGGGAGAGAGAAGATGGGAGTGAGAGGTAGGGAGGGGGCGGCATGGGTTGTGAAGTGAGGGAAGGAGAGAGGAGATTATAAATATGACCTAATTTGATTAAAACCGTTCGGTTCGGTTCATATTTTGTTCAAACCAAACCGACCCGAACTAGTTCGGTTTGGTTAGATTTTTCGGATCGATTCAGTTTCTTTCGCCCCTAATTATATGAAAGCAAAATATTGTTGTCAGATCACTATAAATATATGGTACCTTAGTATAAGCACATATGCTACAATATCGATGTAGAGTGATCGATGTCCTTTTTATTAGGTCTCCTTCAAGTAAAAATATTTGAAGTTGCCACCGATTTATGAGCGTGATTGATCTAACTAAAAAATAAATTTTAGCTCGGAAGTCAATTGAATAGTGAAGATTATTTTTTATAATTAAAAATACTAAAAAAARTAGAAGCCGCCATCCAAGTGCCATAAAGGCTTCTCTCTCCTACTCATTTTACTTTTTATTTTTGTTTTCCTTTTGCAAAAAACTCTTTCCACTACAACCAATGACGCAGCAAGTGAGATCTTTGGGATTTTTTTTYTTTTCCTTTTATGGTCTTTTCCTCCGTTACTAAATTAAAATATCAACAAAATATAAAAGAGATAAACAAATTATCACGATATAAACATAATATTAATATTAATACTAATAATTTTTAACTTATTTTATAAAAGCATAAAAGCTCATTTGTTCAAAATTTTAATATTTGTCATGAATTTTTTGTTTCTATAATTTTTTTTAAATATTCATAACATTAACATCTTATCGGTATTTCTATAAAATTAAGAATTCAACATTTTCGTCRAAATCGACATTTAAAACATTGTTCTTCATTCTGAACTTAATTTAAATATATGTTATTAGTATTAGTGTAATGAATCAATAATATTATATTGTACTCAATCATTTAATTTTTTTTATTCATATTTGCATTACTTATACACTAAACAATGCTCAGATTTGACTCAYATATGTGCTAAAGTTGTGATTTATAACTTAAATAATAAGGGAATTCTCCTAGTATTTCTCTAAAATGTGCTAATATAATCATAACTCGATAAATAAAACGTTAAATTACGTTTATTGAAGTTAAGTGGAAGGTTGAATCTCCCCTCTCTAATAATATCCACTCATTTAATTTCTTTTTTCTAAAATATTCATCAATATATATCTCTATAAATATGAGTTATCGACAACCTTGACTAAGTGCCACATGTGGGAACCTTAGGTTAGATGAGAAGTCAAAATTGTCCATATCCATCGTCAAAATCACCAATTTGGTTTTGAATTTCTTTCTTTGTTATTTTCTATATTTCTTTATGGTTGGTCCCGTTCAGATATTCACAATCAAGAAACACTGAATTCTCTCAAGAGTATTGTGAAGAAATCTGATGGAGTCTCCGTTGAAGCTATACTCCTTCTGGGGAAGCACTTGTGCTCAACGAGTTCRAATTGCACTCAACTTGAAAGGTCTTCCTTCTCTTTCTTTTTCTTTTTCCTAATTCTTTCCCCTCATGTTGTGATTTTTTTTTGTTAAGGATCCTACATTGAAAAGAGAAAAAATGTATCTTACAAAAGTCTATAATAGACATGAACTACTCCTCTCATTGTCAATTGATTTTGAGATGAAACCCCGTSAATATTGATATGATATCAGAGTCCAAAACGCCCAAACAAGTATCCGGTCCAAAAATGGGATCCGAGAACCCCATGAATATTGATATTTTTTGTTTCTTCTATCTTGAAATCTCTTTATTTTTTTTTTTTCCTTGGGATATTTTTTACTTTTTAGGGCTGAATTTTGAGTACAAAGCTGTTGACATAATGAAGGGAGAGCATTCCAGTCCTGGTAATATTTCATCTATCTTTGCAGCTTTCTCAACTTCGTTGTTAATTTTTTTAATTCTTGATTGGGAAGAGAGAAAAGTTTGAGACATATTTTTAATTAAATCTTGTGATTGAAATATAAGAAATTATGTTGATTTCTTCATCTTGTTGAAGTTATGTGTCTCAAGGATTTGAAATGAATTTAATTTGTTTTTATGTTACTAAGGAAAAGAAAATAAAAAGTATACTAATACAATAATTTGAAATTGGTTGAAACATGACAAGGTCAAATTAGTAATTTAACTTAAATTTTGTGAATTCCCAAAATTCTACCATAGTTTGGAAAATGTTTCAAGTAAAAAGTTCTATTTTTCAAAAAATCTCATGAGTTTCTTTTTGTAAAACAATATCTACTAAAATTTATTAACATAAAGTTGATAGATACGTCTGTTAGGAAGCATTTAACTACCTAAAAAAATTACTTATTATACCACTAGTACTTCACTTAAAAGTTCAAAAGTATACTAAACACTAACTTTACTTGTTTTTTTCGATGTTTAGAGTATCTCAAGCTCAATCCTGTCGGTTTTGTACCTACTCTCGTGGATGGGAATATCGTCATTGCCGACTCTTTTGCTATCATAATGGTTTGTGCGCGACCTTTGAACTTTTAGAATTGTAATGCTAATAGTTCTCGGAACTTTAAAAGTGTCTAAAAAATAACTTCATATACAGTATTTGGAGGAAAAGTTTCCAGAACATCCTCTATTGCCTCAGGATCTTCATAAAAGGGCTATTAATTATCAGGTATTTTTCATTTGTTAATTCGTGTATTCAAACTAGCACAATTGCATATGCACAGAGTTACTTAGAAAATTAAAAATGCATAGCTCAATAGTTAATTAAGTAAATTTCCCCTCTTTTTTCCGATCCACCAGTTAGATTCGAGCATGATACACTTTTTAGTGATTGGGAGAGCCTGAATACTCTCTTTCGGATCGAGGAAACAGTTCTTAGAGATCCCTTTTCCGTTTGGAAGATACAAGAGCTCACTTGTTGTGCTATAGAAAATAATAATAATCACACTTTTTTGTAATAGTAAATTGACTTCTCCAAATTTCTCCCCAGGCTGCAAATATTGTCTCTTCGAGCATACAACCTCTCCAAAATCTTGTTGTTGAGGTGAGCGATTAACCTGCAATCTTTTGGAATTTATTTCATTTTTTGTTTCCTTTTCCTTTTCTGTAAATTTTGTATTTATGTTTTAGTCCTTAATATCTGTGAATTTTTTAATTCAATCTCTATATCTTTTTAAAATCTTTCAATTTTTAATCTTATGTTCTACCATTTTCAATTGAGTCTCTCGCGAGAGGTGAATGTGTAAAAAATTGGCCGATGATAAGGTGGAATGGCATAAAATTGAATTGGTGAAAGTTTAGAGGAAGAAAAAAAAGGTGATTTGAGACGAGAAAGTTTCTAATTCCTCAACATTTTTGAAAATTTGATAGGGATTTTGAGTTTTTTCTCTTGATGATATTTTTCCTCTAAATTTTTGTCGATTCACTGAGTACTATGTCATGTAAGTTTAAGTTTATCATCGGCTAATTTTAATATTTACCAATAACGAGTGAGTAAACTAAAAACAGTTAAAACATGAGGGACTAAATTAAAATTTTTAAAACAACGGGACTAAAACCATTATATTTACATAGGTTCACTTATTTATTTTCTCTTTCTTTTACTCTTTTCTTGAATTCTTTTTTTTAATGGTTTTTATGAGATTTCAATCTTATATATATAGATATAAAAAAAAAATCTTATATATATAAATTAATTTAATTTACTATTTTCTCAATTTACAGAAATACATCGAGGAAAAATCAGGTCCTGAGGAGAAACTTTCCTGGGTTCATCACGTCATTGGAAAAGGCTTTTCAGGTGACAACTTCTCTAAATTAAAATTATTTCTTAAATCTTAACTAACTTTTTTTAAATGAGTTTTAAAAACCTATGTTTTAAGGTTTCAAATTTTTCCAAAAAAAATTATATATATAACTTATTTGAGCATAGAATACCTATCCAAATGATTGAATGAATCTCTTTGTAAATAAGGAAACCTACAAAAGGCGGATGCACACCCTAATRCTCAAGTCAGTACAGGTTGAAATTTAGTATATTGGTTATATGTAGTAGAGATCCACACTACATATAAATGGCTTTTCKTTTGGATTTATATGGGTCATGATTGGAAAAATTCAATTAGCCACTCGCCATTTCCTCCTCAGATCGTGGGATTACACAGGAATTGTGTTAGTATTTACTAACCTTCCCTCTCTGAAGTTGCTGGCTGCTCCAAAGATGGCGGAACAGATTGAGACATGTAGTAATGGACTGGATATTGGTACATCGGCCATATTTGAATTCGACTTTTCCAACCTCCATGTAATGAAGGCCCCTCCTTTACTTCTTGGCGCATTGTCAATGGTGTGACACGTAATGGTCACATTTCGCGCCCACAACCTAACTAATATAAAAGAAGTTTCAAAATTTGAAACCATATGTTAAAATGCATTAACAACAATAGGTTTCGCTGAGAGAAAACAATGTAGAAAGAAAAATAAAGTTGTCACATTTTTAGTGGTGGTTAACAGTAAGTTTGGTGTTGACCAATCAAAACTTAAATATTATCGATCTTTTTTATATCATTAGGTCGAGCCTCTCCCTCCACTCTTAAACTTACATAACTTTGTTATAACTTTTCTCTGTCATTTTCGTGTGTTTCAGCACTTGAAAAGTTGCTAACAGATCATGCAGGAAAATTTGCAACTGGAGATGAAATTTATCTGGTTAGTTTCAACTTTGAGCTTAATCTTAATTATCCATGGTACCAAATATGTTAGCATTCAATTGAAATTCTAACCAATTTTCTCATCTACATATCATCTTGTTGTTGGCCCTTGGATTGATAGCTAAGAACTATCAATTGTGCATATTTTACATTTGTTGGGTTTGTGTTTAGGGCACGGTTGGGTTCGACATCTTAAACCTGAAAATGTTAAGTCGTATAGAGTTTAATTTGAGGATTTAAAGAAACCTGTATTTAGGGTACACATTTGGGAGAAAGGTTTGAGGTACCATTGAAATTTTGTGGGTTTGTCCAAGAAACTCAGGACTTAAAAAACTCGTGGGACAAACATGGATTCGACATCTTAGGTAAACCTGACCAAACATTCATTAGAGACAATATTGCAATTAAATTTCATGATTTTATAAGACTAGAAAGAGTATTTTATATATGGTTAAATTACAATGGACTTAATCAGTATACTTTCAATTGGTTTTTATTCTTTTAAAAGTTTTAATTTACTCTTTCAGAGTTTGGACTCGTTTCAATTTAGTTCTTATAGTTAGAGTTGGAAAATAATAAATAAAAAAACAAAAGAATAGGCACATTATCAAATAAAAGAAAGGTGTTAAAAATATAATCACAAAGAGAATTTGTGAGTTAGACTAAACTCTAAGGTCCAAATCGAAACTCTTACAATTGTATTACCAAATTAAAACAAGTTTAAAATCTTAAGGATTAAGTCGAAACTTTTAAAATAATAAAGACCCAATTAAAACTATGCAGAAATTACATCGAGTTTCTTTGATGCATCTTTGAAATTTCATTGTTTAAGAAATTGTTGAGGAAATATGATAAACTATTAACTATTATTGTTATCATTTGCAGGCAGACTTGTTTTTGGCTCCTCAGCTTTATCGAGCCATTGAAACATTCAATGTTGACATGGTATTACTGCTTGAAATTTCATGTTTATAGACTAAATTTGTTTTTTTCCGTTGCTAAAGATCATAATTCTAGTCGTGCCACTCGGCCCTGTTTTAAGTCACGTGTTTTCTTTTTGGTTTGAGAATGTTTGGGTGGGCAAAGAATGGTTCAGGAACAATATGTGAACCAAGCTAAAACTAAATTGTGAAATTTACGCTCGAACGGGAGGGGTTAAATTGACAGAACTTTTAAAACAATAGGAACCAAATTCGTCGGTCGAAGTGATGGGAACTAAGAAGCACTTTATTCTCAATCACTTTTTGTAATTCAAACTATTTTTTGCAGTCGAAATTTCCACTTTTATTGAGGTTGAATGAGGAATATGATAAGGTACCAGCATTTCAAGATGCATCACCATTGAAGCAGCCTGATGCTCCTTCTCAAAGCTCTACCTAAATTTAGTGATGGATTGTATCTGTTTGTAGTGTGATTTCCATTTTCCATTTCAGACAGTTTTTACATATTTTGGTTTTTGTGGACTTGGAGCAGATCTGATGATGTAATAGCAAAAAATAAAGACAGCAGACACAGTGTGAACTACTGTACTCAAAGAAATAAGAGAAGTTTTTCCTCAAGTCCAAGTATGCAGGAACAATCCACTACAAAAATAGAACTAAAAACGTCGGGAAAACATTTTCCCAACGTAGATATTGCATCGGCAAAAATGTCGGAAGAAATCCATTGGGAAAGCCACCTCCCGACGAATTTATGAAAATCGTTGGGGGGTAATGCTCTATACCAAATAAGAATTTTATTTATATTGAAATAAATTTAAAATAATAACAAGAAACATAAATACTTATCAAATGTTTAAATTTCTTAGTCTAATTGAAAACGAGAAACGGGAACTTTATCTAAGTGAATTCTTAGAGACTTTCAACAGTGGAAGAAACATAATCAAGAGAATAAAATGATTGAAAATTCAGAGCTGTGAAATATAAACTTGCCATATCCTGCTACCTCCAACGTTCTTAAGTAACTCGATATTAAATCAAAACAGCCAGAATTTCGAGAATTCATACAACCAGGAGAAATAAAGTTTTCCTCGAGTATCAAAAGGAAACTTGTTTTGCTTCACAACGTTCAAACAGACCATGGTAATAATGTCAACATTGATTTCAAACAAATTTAAAAAAAGAAAACAACTAGCTTAGCTTAGGCAGTTTGAGGTAGAAAAGCTCTTCCAGGCTGACGGTTTGCTAGAGGCCCATGGCATCCAAGAAGCTGCATAGTCAAATTACCCGCCCCGTGAGTAGACAAATTAAAAGTATAAACCATGCAACTCAAAACAATCAATAGAAATATATGAAAGTTTTGACCATGTGTTTGTGGTTTATGAGTGATGAAGAACCAAGAAATTTCAGATGACGTATTACAAGTAACATGATCCTACAACACAAGCGCCCAAACCAGGTAACATTTTTTGTTTCTTTGGATGAAAACCCAAACTTTCATTAATCATACAAAAGAACAGTCCAACAAAGCGAAGCCAAACTAAAAGAACAGACTACAATCAAATCAACCCGGTAACCTTTCGTAGCATCCAGAGAATAGCTATGTCGTGTTTGGCTTATAGACATGGCCAATTTTTCTTTAGTTAAATCTATTAGACTTTCTATCAGATGCTTCATAATCTGTCTTCAGTTCAATGCAATGAATTCCTTTAAAAGAATATAAAAAGTAGCCTCTCCTAAGTCCCAACTAACATTAGATTCATTCTCCTATATTGTGCTTATAAAAGAATGTATGATAGTAACATCGCTTACCTTCGCATTAACACCATCTGGCATAATCTTGTTCTCTGACTTGTAACTCAGATAATCAGCTCGGCTGAATTTAGTGAATCCCCTGAGAAAAAAAAGGATATTTGGAATGATTAGCATTCAATCAACAAAAGCACTAAATTGGGAATCCATCCTACAGTCAAAGGGGCATACCACTTCCTGCTAACAATGATCTTCTGACGCCCCGGGAACTTGAACTTGGCGCGACGAAGCGCCTCCTGAGCATGCTGGCTGTTGCTGTCCTTGCAGCGAACCGAGAGGAGAACCTGGCCGATGGCGACTCGTGCACAGGTTCCTTGTGGCTTACCAAAAGCACCTCTCATGCCAGTTTGGAGCCTATCAGCCCCGGCACACGAAAGCATCTTGTTAATCCTCAAAACATGGAAGGGGTGCACTCTGACCCTCAAATGAAACGCATCCTTCCCAGCGAATTTCGCCATGTACTTGTTACAGGCGATCCTAGCGGCTTCCAGAGCCTCGCTGGACACATTTTCTTTCTCCCAACTCACAAGGTGCACACAGAACGGGAATTCATCAACCCCCTTCTTCTTCATCCCAACATCATAAATCCTGATCTTAGGATCAGGAACACCGCGACAGAATCGCGATTTAGGGTAGGGCTTGTTTTTAATTTGGCGGTAACATCTAGCAGGCCCTAAGAAAATAGAATGCGAAGTAACAATGGATAATCAATCAATCGGCAAATTGAGAGATGCATCGAATCGAAACATAAAAAGATGAAAAAATCATTTGTGAGCAACGAATAGATTGATTCTTGATTAGAGAATAACATGGAAGAAGAACAGAAAGAACAAGAAAAAGAAGGAAACGTACTTCTCCCCATGGCGTTTGTTGATTCCCTCGCCGGTCCCTCCCCTGGAATTGAATCTCACCTGCGTGGCTGAAATTAGGGTTTTAGAGACTTATACGGGAAGATGACGATGGAAACCAACCTTTTCTGAGCCCAAGCCCAAGCCCAATCCTAAGCCCAAGCCCAAGCCCAAGCCCAAGTATAAAATTTTCACATTCTCGTTTTTGCCCTCTTTTAACCAATATTGTCTCAAATGTCCAGACACTTATATCTACTAGTTTAGTACCACGTAATAAAAATTTTAATTTTATTTATTTAACTAAATTAGTATGTGATTCAAATTTATAAAAATATCATAAGTTTGTTAAATATATTTTAATTTTTATAATTAGTATAATGGTAAGATTTTAAAGATTATTATTATTGATAATGGATCCATTAGTTAATTTTAATATTTATAATTAATTAAAAGTTTTGTAAGGACATAATTTTTTTTCAAAAAAATAAGATAAATTTGTGATTATGATGAATAAATTATTATTTTTTCATCAAACATCTTAAATAAAAAATACATTAATTATAAAAGAAAAAAGAAAAAACCAAAGTAACAAAAAAATATATATATAATACCCTAGCCATGGACTCATTCCTTAAAATAAAATTGCTCACCTGATAATTGATTGACTAATATTATTATTCAACGAGGTAAAAATTTATATCATTTGTGTCACACAAAATCAATCAAATTCTGCCAAAACAAAAGAAAAATATTGGCACTATGATCAACAAAACAAAGGAAATTATTGTGACTATACATCAAAAACCGAGATTTATAACGTGAATGACCATGGGACTTCAGTTGCTAGCTCGTCCATCATTAGGTCACCAATTTTCTTGATAGTATATCTATAAGAGTCTCTGATACTTTCAACTTCATGATTGTACTCTAAAATCACCATTGCAAAGACAAAGAGTCATGGCTCCAACAAAAAACACTTCATCACAATGTGGAATTGTAACAACACACAGCTTAGAATTCAAGATATAGATCCAACACGTGCTTCCCTTGCAACTTGAATATGTTACCCGTCTTGAGACGTCTTTCAAGATTGAAAATTTTTTTGAGAGCACCGAGAAGAATGAATTGAGGTCTAAGTGTTTGTGCACAAAATGATGGAATAAAGCTTAATTTATATAGGTAATAGATGATTAAAAGTTACAAAACTTTAGAAATTTTATTATGAATTGTAATTAAAGGAATTTTTTAGGAAAAACTTTTTGCGTTCCAATTTTTTATATCCCATATATTTAGTATTCCAATCTTTTATATTCCATATATTTAATATTGTTGTTAATAATTATTAACAAATCAATTTACTATATATTTATAATAGTTACCTTAACTTTTATTATAAATAAAGATTTTATATTATTTCTTATTAAACTCAAATGGTGGTTAGAAAACTTCTCCCATTCTTAAATAAATGCCCATCTTAAAAACATTAAAATTAAATTTTATTTTATTTTATAGATTAAAGTTAATTTTAGTTACTGGTTTGTAATTAAACAAAAATTAAAGGGATATAATGATCCTAAAATATTTGTTAGAGATTGTGCGTTTTAATATATTATAGATAATCTATAATATATTAAGAATGCACGATCTCGAAAAAATATTTTAGGATTATTATACCTATTTAATTTTTACTTAATTATAAATAAATAACTCAAATTAATTTTAATCTGTAAAATAAAATATATTTTATTTTATTTTAGAAGGGGCATTTATTTGAGAATGAGAAAAGTTTTGCCAATCACATTTGAATTTAATAATAAAATTTAATTTAATTTATAAAGCTAACTATTATAAATATAGTAAATTAATTTATTAATAATTAATTATCAAGAAATACTAAATATATGGAATATAAAAGGTTGGAATGTAAAAAATCTTTTTTAATTTTTAAAAATTCCTTTAGCTACAATTCAAGATGGAATTTCTAAAGTTTTGTAACTTTTCATCATCTATTACTATATAGATTTGAGCTTTCTTCCACCACTTTGTTCACAAACACTTCTTCATTCATTTTTTTTAGTGCTCTCAATTCTTTTGTTCGACGAGAAATTCAATAAGAGAAAACTCAAATTAATGAACTTGTGTTTGTATTTGTGTACGTGGATATTACAATCTCTAATGTATAATCCCCTGATTAATTCTCTCAAATGTAAACTTAATTCAAGGGCTTGTGAGCTTGTTCTTGAATCAATGGTTGATACCTTCAGCTTCTTGCTTGTCAATGGATCTTTGAAGTCTTCGGTTTTAAGTTTGTTGAAAACTTTGACTCGTTGATGGAGTTCTTTGGCTTATAGTTTGATGAAGACTTTGTAAATCTTCGGCTTTGCGCTCGTGAAGCTCTTCAATTTTGCGCTGGTGAAGTTCTTCAGCTTTGCAGATTGTGAAGTACTTCGGCTTTGTAGCTTGTGAAGTGCTTCAGCTTTGCAGCTTGTTGAAGTTCTTCGGCTTTACAGCTTGTGAATTTCTTTGGCTTTACAGCTTGTGAAATACTTCAGCTTTGCAGCTTGTTGAAGTTCTTCAGTCAATTTGATGAAGACTTTGCAGTTTGATGGAGTCTTCAAGTATTGTTGCTTTGGGAGGAAAGATTCAATGTTCTTGAAATCTCGTATTCTTTAAATCTCGATGTTTCGCTTGACTCTGAATGATTGTAGACAATTCTGAGTGCTCTGAATCTCCAATTCTTCTAGCTTCTTTTGACTTATTTTTCTTCCCTAATGAGAGCTGACCCCCTCTATTTATAGAGCTTTGGTGGGTAGTCATGGGCTTAATGGGCCATGGGGGATTTGGGAAAATTGACAAAATAAGTCTTCTGTGAGGGCCTCTTAAGTTTTTTAATCGCTCTTCTTAAAACACAAGTTTTATAGTCATTGCTGACGTCACCTACTTTGTCAAATGACCTCCTATGCCCCTCCTTACTCTACTACCAAAAGTTTTTAGTTTTCCTCCCTTTTAGGTTTTCTTCCCTTATTTCTCTTTTTCTTTATTTCTTCTCTCTACCTCCATCTTCCTCCTTTTCCAGATTTTTTTCTTCTCATCGTTTTTTGTTCTTCTCTCTTTCTCTTTTCCATGTCTTCCGCAAGCATGAGTTTTTTCTTGTTTACTCTGCTATAAAAAAAAAAAAACTAAATCTCTCACCATTTTTTAACTAGCAGCCTCCATGATTCCCGTGACCTTCAACAATCATCGGCGACGAATTCATCAAAGCCAACGAAGGAGGTCGTTTGTCAAAGAAAGAGGCTCAGGAGAGGAATGAAGTTCGACTTACAATGAGATGGGAAAGGAGATAGAGAAAGAGAGTTGAATAAGAGAAAGTTGAGAGAGAGAGAATTGTGCGAGAGATAGAGAACGAGAGAAGAGTGAGCGAGAGCGAGAAACGATTTTAAAAATTGGAATGGAGATAAACGAAATCTCAAATTTAAAATACTAAGCATAGAAGATTTTTTTAATTAAAATTTAAAATTATAATTGAAATTTAGTGAACCAAATTTTAATCTCATTCATTTTAGTATATTAAAATTTGAAATTTAATCGTTTCCTTAATTGTTTTTTTCCTCTTTAATTATTTGAACGAATCATTTGAAAAATAAACGTAAATCTCTCCTTTAATATCTCCCCTAATTTTGATTAGGATAGAATTTAAATTTATAATTTAATTAGGTAGTACTCATTTAATCGTAAATTTAAAATTTTATCCAATTAGGTGAAAGTATAAAAAAAAAATTCTGTTTTTTCGTAAATCTCTTCCTCATAAATATGCTCCTTTAATCCTAAATTTAAAATTTAATTTAATTCAATTTTGTGAAGTAAAGAAAAAAAATAAAATAATCCCTTTTTGAAATTTTAAAAGTTGGAATGGAGAGAAACTAAATTTCAAATTTAAAATACCAAGCATTGAAGATTTTTTTAATTAAAATTTAAAATTATAATTGAAATTTAGTGAACCAAATTTCAATAGCATCAATTTTAGTATATTCAAATTTGAAATTTAATCTAAATTTGTTTCTTTAATTGTTTTTTCCTCTTTAATTATTTGAACGAATCATTTGAAAAATTAACATAAATCTCTCATTTAATATCTCCCCTAATTTTGATTAGGATTAGAATTCAAATTTATAATTTAATTAGGTAGTCCTCCTTTAATCGTAAATTTAAAATTTTATCTAATTAGGTGAAAGTATAAAAAAAATATCATGTTTTTTCTTTAATCTCTTCCTCATAAATCTGCTACTTTAATCCTAAATTTAAAATTTAATTTAATTCAATTTGGTGGAGTAAAGAAAAAAAAAGAAAGAGAAAACAATCCATTTTTTTCCTAACTGTCCTATTTTTCCGTTATTATCACCACTTATTCACATCTCGTTCCCCCTCTCTCTCTCGATCTCTCTCCCTCTCAATCCCGTCCTTCTCGATCTCGCTCTGTCTTTCTCGATCTCGCTTCCGTCCTTCTCGATCTCGCTCTGTCCTTCTCGATCTCACTCTATCGATGAACTCGCTCTCGTTCTCTCGTTCTCGCTTTGTCCCTCTCTCTTCTCTCCCCTCTCTCCTCGTCGCATTTGGTTTCATGGAGAAGAAGATAGTCTGTACAAGAGGGACGTGCAAGAGCTGGAGGTTTGAGAGTTTGGTAGAAGATAGCAGTATATTGTGTAAAGAAGGAAAGTTTTTGAAAATCTTGAAAATTTGATTTTAGAAGAGAGGGTGAAAGAGTTGGGAAAAATAATAAGGAAAATTTTATCTTATTTCATATGCAAATTATTCTCTCCCTCTCTCTCGCCGCCGGCAATGTTGTCATCGTTCAACGGTGTCGTCGGAGAGGCCACCAAGGAGGCGCAAGAGCTCAGGATGGAAGCAGCGGACAGCAACCGAACGGGACCTCCACTAGTTGAATTCCTAACGGAGACGCCCAAAAACTGG